GCTGCTGTTGTTTTAACCCAGGTTTTGGAAACCCCTCCTCTGACCAGAGCGCTCCCCCAGCATGGGAGGGGCGGGCCTAGGCGGGACGCGGGCGCCTCTGCTCCTGTTGGAACTGAAATCACTAGGGCCGTGGCTGTGATAAACCGTATGACATTGTTCACCTGGGCTGGAAACCTGGTTCTGGCAACTAGCAGACAGGTGAGGACGAGGCACTATTAGGACAGAGGACGTAGTGGTCACGCATGACCCGTAGCGCTTTCTTAGGTAGGTGGGTTTTATGTCCACAGAGAGACCGGGGTGCAGATATGTACTTCGAACTATATTTATAGATGTAACGCCAAGAGTGAGAATAACCAGCAGTGAACTTTTGTGGCACTCATCTGGGTCGATAAGTCATCAGTGACACCTCAGGGTGGGGCAGTTAACGTCCAGGAAAATGTCCCCAAGGGAAGTTGCATTTAAATTAAACGACCAAAAGCAAGAAAATTGTATTTGACTGGTTTACTCGAGAACCATCTCTGCTGGTCCCAGCGGAAGTCCAGTCTGAATGAAGAACTGGGGAGCCTTAGAGCGGAAGTTCAGTCACCACGGTCCCAATATCTCACCGGCCCCGAGGAGAGAGGGAAGATCGAGGACTCCAGGAAATCTCAGAGCGCTAGCGAGGGAGGGCACGGCCCAGGAAGTGTGCCTTAAGGCTGGGCCGGGCCCTGCGGGCGGCGGAGGTCCGCGGCCCGGAGCTGGTAGGGGTCAGCTCCTCGGCGTACACGGTGTGGGAGGAGGTCTCAGGGTCCCTAGTGGGACTGACGAGGAGCCCAGTAGCAGTCACCAAGATTCGGAACCGAGATGTAAGGAGTAGCAATGAGAGAGATTGGAGATCAAAGCAGCCCAGGCAGGGCCCTAGGAAGGTGACCTTATTTCTTTCTCCATTCCACTTTACAGGCAGCGTGCAGCGGGACAGCGCAGGGACCGCCCTGGTGGTGCCGGAGTTCGGCGACGGGAAACTCCTCCCCCGGGCCTGCCTCCTCCTTCACACTATGCTTAAAACAACCTAAGAGACCTCTGAAGGCCGCAGACTCTGAGCCCCGGGGGGCTTCTTTTGCTGTCAGGGAGCTGGCTGCTCAGTGAAATGTCCCTCGTTTCAAACTGGGCCGCTGCCTGAGAGGAAGGAACGTGGCACCCCAAGTCTTCGTAGGGCAGAGCTCCGACTTCGGCCTCCAGGATGGGAGGCGGCCAAGCCTGCAGGTGGGGTCCGACCCCTACTCCTCCCTGTACGCACCGCTTCCACACATTTATGCTTGTGTTCCTCGGGGCCATCCTCTGTCCCCGAAACCGAACCAACCGCTTGGTGTCAACCCCGAGAAGAGGCTGCTGAGTTCCCGACGCCCTGTTGGAAGGAGGAAGACAGTGCCCAAATGGGCAGCAGCTGTCAGACGCGCTCTCCTAGCTGGGGGGCGGCAGGGCGGGAGGACAGGTCAAAGGGGAGGAGAGTTCACCCCGACAGCCTGGGCCCCCAAACAGAGCCTCTCCCGCTGATCCTCGCTCCAACCAACCAAAGTGTGCTCCCTTGGCTCAGGAAAGGGGCTCTGCCAGAGGAAATGTGAAGCGAGGCCTGCCAAAGGAGGAGGAGAAAATTAATTAATGAGGGAAAGAAATGTGTCTTCTGATCCAGATGATAGACTCCCTGTCCCTGGGGGCGGAAATTCCTTGGAAATCAATAGCTGTGCATTCATTATTCCTCTCTTGATAAAATGCAAAGCTATGAGATTGGGGGGGAGGGGCGTAGTCTGTGGTGGCCATTAAATAAAAAGAAAAAAGAATTGCCCAGGAATCTATGCCAAGGCTCAGACCCCATGTGGGCATCATTAGCACAGGCAGGGGCCAACTAGTTACAGCAGTTGCCAAAACAGGAAAACAAAGCAGTGACATATGGGTGAGCTAAGCTCAGTTCCACCACCCTTTCCCTTACCGGTCATGAGGTAAGTGGGGAGAGGCTTGATGGTCCCAGCCACTGCCTGCAGATCTACAGGTGTGCCCCACTGTTTAGCCTGGGGCTGAGGCCCAGCAGGGATATGGCGGGATAACTCTCTGAGCATCACCCCACCCCCATATTTCTGTACAACTCTAATCACACCTGGTATACTTGCACCAAAAATGCCTTTTCTTCCCCATCCACATAGACTGTCTCTTCCTAGAGGGCAAGTACTCATATTTTCCACCTATTTCACCTCCATTGTCTACCCAGAATTTGAAGAAGGAATATAAGGTAACAAGTATATAAGGGCAGGGTGAAGTAATTGGCTTCTGTAAAAGAACAGGCTGGAATCAAGATACAGCTCTGCTTGGGGGAAAACACATAACACCCTGCCCAATTCCCAAGGAGAGAGGAGAGCCCTTCAGGGATCTTCCTGCAATCCCCAGTCTTAGCCCTGGTTTGTTGAACCCATTCGGCCTTTTTCTCCTGACCCTCCCCAACTGGCCTTTCTTCCTTTCTGCACACATGTATTATTTGATGGGGGCACTTTTATTACATGACAAGAACTCTGCTGGGTGCTGTGATGCAAGATAGATGTGCCCTAGATAAGCTGCCAATCCATGGGTTGAGGAAGGATTCTATACCTATACCCCTCATATTTCTAGCCCTAGCAAACAGCCATATATTCTGGGCAAAGGTTTGCCTTCACCTGGGGGTAAGGTACTCCTGTGTCCAAAGAAAAACAAACTGGGGAGGAAATATTTGTGGAATAGTAAACTCCTGACTTCTGGCTTGCCTGGCTACTTCACAGGGTCTGAGGGTAAACTGAGGTGCCCTTTAGGTAACGGGAGCTCCACCCAGTCTCTGCATGTCCACCTGGCTGTGGACATGCAGACTATTCGACTCTCTGTCTGCCCAGTACCCATAACATCCCCAAAGGCCAGTTTTCTCAGGAGTGGAAAGTAAGCTTCAGCCCCTAGCCCTCTGCTGTGGGCTCTTCTTCCCTGCCTCCCAAGGGAGAGCACAGGGAACCACTGCAGTGGGTGTAGGATTAGGTTAAGCTTGGACTCCCTCCGGTGAGATGTCTACCAGAGGACTCATTCTTTCCCTCCAGCAATGTCTAGCTCATCAGTCCATTCCCTGTTGAGATAAAGTTGCATTTAGTGCTCCCAGGGGACCACATAATGGATGGAGACAGGGCTCAGCTCCTCCTCTCACCAGCAAGTAAACATTCTTCTCACTTTGCTCTCCAGCTAGAAGAAAGGGAGGGAGTCAAGGGACAGAAAAGAAAAGAAAGAAAAAGCCATGGTGACGCCTGTGGGATCTCCTTGGAATCTGAGTATGTGACTGGGTATACTAAATACACATGCGTTGGTGCAGAGGAAAGATAAAATCCACGGGAACACGAATTTAAGTTTATAGAAATGAGATCCGTTATTTGGTGAAATACAGACCTCCTTGGTGTGGGTGAGACCAGAAGGATTATTTATCTGATCTCTGCTGCCAATAAGCAGTGCTTTGCCACTCTCCAGCTCTCTTGCCACAGATGTGATAACATCTGGGCTGTTATTATCACCTGGGGGCAAGGACTGCATCCTTGGGGACTGAGCACCTGAACTGCAGTTCACTGGGGAGGCTCTTGATCTTCCTGCCACATTAGGGCCATCTAACAGGTTAGCCAATTGATTTCTTGTTATGTCTTGATTTCACAGTAATTAAAAAAAAATTAAAGACCAGACCTGAGCTTGCACCTATTCTTTCAAACTGGTTTGAATCAGTATTTTGAATAAAGCTTTCCTACATATTAGCTTGATCCTGTCTCTTACAAAGAAAAAATGTAACAGCAAGCAGGGATTAGAGACAAAAAGCCAAAACAATGAAAGAAAAGAAGAAAGTTTGCTTCTTAACATCTTATTCCCTTTTCTCTGAATTGAATTTTTTCTAGCGTTTCTAGCATACAGAGAGAGAAAGCGTGTGTGTGTGTGTGTGTGTGCGTGTACACTGAGATGAGGAAAGATCCCAACTACACCCTGTTAACTATTTTTTCCTTTTGATTACTAGAAGCCTCAGATCACCCGGAGCTCTTTTGAAACGTGGGTTTGTACACAGTTAAGGGAGACAAACAATAAGAGAAATGCACAATTTCATTTCAACAGCCTTTCCCGAGTAGAAAGCACACGCTCCTTGTGGCTCCTAAGTGGCTGTCACTGGCGGTGCCTGACACAGTTATATTCACAACAACAAAAAAGTGTGCGGAGGAAATTAAATTATATGGAAATCAATAGCGTCTGACTGCTTCAAACAAATGTCTGTCACCGCGATTATTCTCCAGGAACCTATTTATAAACCTTAAAAGAAACAGGTTCTTGCAGCAAAAGACAGCACCTTCTGCATTTCTGTGTTGTTATTTATACCGTATACAGAGGAATGCGCGGGCATAATTTAACATACAAATGCCCAGCTGTATACATTATATAACAGCTTGTTAGGCATCCCAGAGAGGAGGTGTGCTCATATATTCAGGGCTTGCGACGAGGAGGGAAAAAACTAAAATACTGAGAGGCGTGCGTGCATCTTGTCTTTCTTTCTCTAAAGTGCCTACCCTTAAACAATAGCCGATCCTTCTGATCTTGCCAGACCGCGATGGGAAAGGTGAGGCGTGCAATGCGCATGCCTGGGCAGCTACAGGTGCATCACCTGCGCTGTCCTTGCAGGTGGTCACTATAAGAGCTTCTCCCACGCGCCGGTCACGGCCGGACGAGCGCGCGCGCGCGCAGACGCACAGCTCCGCCGACAGGGAGGGCGCGCGCCAGACAGACGGAGACAGCTGATGCCTGTCAGCGCGGCAGGGCCGCGAGCTCTCGCGAGAACTCCCGGAGCCGGCCGCGAGAAGTGGGGCTCAGGTGTAAGAGGAGTACATCCCGTCGGCGCGCCGGGCTAGAGCTCTTGGAGAAGCGGGACTGTGAGGCCGGCGCGCGGCGCTCTGCGCGGTCAAAGGGAGCGCGGGGCAGCAGCTGGACCTGCAGCAGCCCGCTGCGCGATCGCCGCCAGCCGCCTCCACCGCCGCGTCTGCAGCCTCCAAAGGAAGGCCGGGGGAACCGGCGTGCGCACTTTCCCGCGGACTTTCGGAGTGTTGTGGATATACATGCCAAGCCGTCAAGATGATGTCCATGAACAGCAAGCAGCCTCACTTTGCCATGCATCCCACCCTCCCTGAACACAAGTACCCATCGCTGCACTCCAGCTCCGAGGCCATCCGGCGGGCCTGCCTACCCACGCCGCCGGTAAGCGACCCACGCCCGCGGCCCCGGCCCGCGCGCCCGTCCCCTCCCTGTCTCCGAGACGCTGCATGTCGGGTGCTGGTATATGCAGGTCCCAGTGCAGGGATTTGCGAGCAGGGGTTTTTAGAGGAATCCCGCTGCGAGGCACATTTTGTACAGCGGAGCTTAATGTCGTGTTCCCGTCTGCCTTTGCCTCGGTGTCGGGCGCCTGCAACCAGAGTGGGGAGCGCTGGGGCCAGGACTCTCTACTTCCTTCCACTTTCTCTGTTAATTTCACGCCTCGGTCTCTGTGCGTGTTCGGGTGTGTGACACGGGTCCCCAGCTGCGAGTTACAGTTCCATTTCTTCTTCTTTCCCCTCTCCTTTTTCGTCTCCCACCCCCGTTCCCGGAATGTGTCCTTGTGTCCCCTTTTACCCCTACTTTTGCCCCCTCTCCACATTCCTGTCCCTTCTCGTCTGCCCCCCTACCTTGTCGCCAATGTATTCCCCAATTCCGTCTTTCCCGCTCTCCATTGCCCCCACCCCTGTTGTTGTTATTTTGGTTGCTTTGTGTTTGCCTTTTGCATGTTGTGCTTTCCGGCTTGTGTGTGCTTTTTTCTTGTTGTTTTGTTTTTGCTCTTTTGGTTTTGTGGGTTTTTGTTTGGTTTGTGTCGCCTGCAGCTGCAGAGCAACCTCTTCGCCAGCCTGGACGAGACGCTGCTGGCGCGGGCCGAGGCGCTGGCGGCCGTGGACATCGCCGTGTCCCAGGGCAAGAGCCATCCTTTCAAGCCGGACGCCACGTACCACACGATGAACAGCGTGCCGTGCACGTCCACGTCCACCGTGCCGCTGGCCCACCACCACCACCATCACCATCACCACCAAGCGCTCGAGCCCGGCGATCTGCTGGACCACATCTCGTCGCCGTCGCTCGCGCTCATGGCCGGCGCGGGCGGCGCTGGCGCGGCGGGAGGCGGCGGTGGCGC